ATACCTATGTCATACCTTTGTCATTATACAAATTTATGTCCTCATTTGTCACAAAAACGCACGCACACACACACACACACACATACACACACACATAGTGGGAGCTACAGGTGCACACCCACCTTATGCTTTCCTTTATATGTGACAAGCGCTTGGTTTTGGCTGCTAAGTGCTGGGAAAAGGAGATTTTCTCCCCTTCCTGCGGCCGCTGGCCTCTACATGGACGTCTGCCTGTGTACACAGGGTTAGGACTGCTGATTGCGGGAAGCCGCTCCCCATTAACCGAGTGAGAGAGTGCACCCAGTGGGACATGACCGCTAGAGAGAGAGAGAGAGAGAGATACACGGGTACACTGGTCCACCCTGAGCCTGGACACAGAGCAGCTTTGACGGACCTCGAATCCCAGGCATTTATGTTCAACCAAACTTGCCCCCGCTGAATGCTAGAGAAGGTTTGCACTTTCAATAGTGAGACAGGAAACGGCCCACTTTCTAATCCATAAATGTTGGTAAATGGTCAATATTTGTGTACCTGTAAGGAATTGCAACAAATGTTGTATATAATCAAGTGTGCTTTGCTGCTGTCTGGGATTTTTGCATTTGTGGTCACATAGTTTGTTCTTTACCAAATGCATCGATAACATGCAAAGAATATATTTATATATTAGAATATATTTATATATTAATATTTAATGCTATACAGAAGCTTTTGTTGAATGCATATGCGAGAATAACATTAATAGAGCAAAACTCACTCTCTTTCTGATTTGCTATATATGGGGCAGTTATTGTAGTATCATTGATACAGTTTTTATTAATAATTTTATTTAGTTTTTCTTTTTATATTTACCATTTTCATATTTAATATCCATATTCTCATTTTAATTAAAAACAATGTCATTTTTATTCTTTTATCCTTTTTTAGATTTTTAATTCTTTTTTTGTCTAGTTTATAGTTCTTAGTTTTAGTTATTTTAGTCAACAAAATGTTTCCTTGGCAGCTAGCTAAAATAAGATAAGTTCAAGTTTTTTCAATTAAATTTTATTGCAGGTACTGTTGATAAATTATCATATTATATAATACTATTTGATAAATTTTACGCAAGCTTCTAGGTACTGTTTTTACTTGTATATTTTTCTTTTTTATTTTAATTTAAGTACCATGTTTCGTAATTGTACGTTTTATCAATGTATTATTTTTTATATATGTTTAGTATTTTTTGTCTATATAGTTTTTAATAATTTTTCAGTTTTAGTTTATTAATAATAATAGTTATTTTAGTACATGAAGTAAAACTAAATAAACCTTGGCAACTAGGTAAAATAAAATACATTTACACTTTTTTTATACTTTATTTTATTAATTTCAATTAGTTTTTGTTTTTATATTTTCCATTTGTATTTACAGTTCAGTTAAAGTTTTAGTAATTTTGTTGTGTTTTTGTAATTTTTATTCGTTTTTTAAAACTATGTCTAGTTTTAATTTTTTATTTTAGTTTCAGGTTTCACATCAAATATGTTAAAATAGCTAAAAAAAAGTACTAAATCTACTCAAATAAATGCATTTTAGTACACCAAATGAAAGTTTTTTTTTCTTTTTTTTCATTTCAGTTAAAAATTTATTTTAGGT